AACCCAAGCCACAACTCGGTTTATGAGACCACCCACTTCCTATCAGCTTTAAAAACATGAATATTAAAACCAACCTATTTTCTTCTGATGGACAATTCCTTAAATAGCTAAAGCTGTCAATCAAAAAAGTCACCTACAACTTGTAAGCTTCCCCAAGCTTACAAGAACATTAAATTCAATAAAAATACTTTATCACATATTTGAATGACCAGTAATATAGCTTTTCACGTCCAAGCCTTTTAAAAAGCAACCCACTGGTCTTTTAAAATAACTTTCAAAATACTATGGATTCTATTTGCAGGCAAGCAAGAGATAATGTGGAAGAAACAGTTTTCCCTTATCTCAACTGAATAGTTACATTAACAGCTTCTGGAGTACTACAACACAAACACTGGGTGACGGGATTATTGCACTGGAAAATATATTAACGTACAGACAGCATATGAATGCACCCAAGCTTGGATGCAAGGAGAATGAATGGTTGAATGAATAAGAGGACAATCAGATACACACACTCCCATATTGCGTCACTGGAACCTAAGAACTTCCAAAGAGACAGATGCAACGTTCTTGGTGGATGAAGGATCAGTGCTGCACCCTGTGCTGAGGGAATAAGCTGCGATAAAACCTCACATCCACAATTGAGAGTGTAAAGAAAATAAGGCTTATTTATTCCTCCCCAACAGCTGAAGTCCAAGCTACTTCCTCAGAACGAAAACTGCACTTCCCAAATGCCTCTTACCATCTGTCAAACAGTTTTAGCTGCTCTCAAGAGGCTTCTTATGCTACTATATATGTTACATCTGCAACAGATTTTCTTGTTGTAGAGTACAGATGGAATAAAACATTGTTTTATAACAAACACAGCAAAATACTGCACCGGATTTCAATTGTGTACAATCCAGAACCAGTTAAATGAATAAAACACTTCTGACTAACGTATCTGCTGCTAGTCAGTGCCCTATTATGAGCACTGTTCCCTAAACATTATTTGCTCAGTTTATGGGGTTCAGTACTTACTTACACCTTCCTTTTAAAAGCCAGTGTCAGTCCTCAAGTCATCAAGCTCCATCAAGTCTCTCTACCATGGTATGAAATTACAAACATGAATTGAGACAAATTACCAGAAAAAGCTGGCAAAGCGTTTGTTTTAAGATAAAGCAACACAGAGCTGCTTCTACTGCATCTAAACTGACGGAGCTTCTTAGGCAGAGAAACCACCTCCAGGACCGGAAGTTCATTTATAAAAACATTCCCAAAAATCTTCAAGGCCAGAGACAAAGCAAGTCCACAGACAAAGCAAGTCCACAAGCAGCAACAATATACCTCCTCTACTAACTCCCAGCATCATGAAAGTGTCAGTTTTTCAAAGTCACTATTTTTTCTACTTTCTGGTTACAATTAGACCTTGCAATACCTAGACAATTTGTGAAAGTCACATCAGTCTCGATATTTGCTCACAGGCTTTCAACAGAAGCAAAAGCCTTACAAACTTCTTTACATTGCTCCAGCTGTAAACTCCTAGTATGATTTTGCACTCTATATTAGTGGAAGAGCTGTACGCAGCAGAGGGAAGGAAGGAAACTATTGACGGACTGTTAAACCATGAGGTTGTCAACTTCACACAAAACACAAGACAACAACAAAAGAAATCACTCAAGCAAAATCCAAACCCAATCCTCTAACACTAATCAAAGGCTTTGGGATAAAACTTTTGTTGCTGTGGGGGGTTTTTTGTTTGGTTGGGTTTTTTTGGGAAAAACAAAACACCAAACCCACCACCAAGACTGTGCCCATTGCTTCCTGTATCTTAAAAGAGATACATTTCTGAACCATATTACCACCGTTATAATAAAAGTTAATTGTAAAGGCTAAGAGAAAAGCCGTATCAACTCAGCACCATTATGACCACATCAGAAGGAAGGGTGGAGTTCACTCAGTATTGTTTGACATTTAGAAGTAGTATTTTTTGTTTCCTCACCAATGCACTGAAACAACCTAGGTGAAGAACTATGTTGTTTCATTTCCTGTAAGAACAGTGACTGTATAAAAACCCACCTCAAAAAGCTTTCAGCTACTGCTCCTCTCCTCCCCAACAGTACCTCTGTCATAGAAGCAAGATCTTCATTAATAGCATACTGTATATGAAACACAATTTACCTGACCAAGATTTCCATATTACAGTTTCAGAAATGGGATCACCAGCTTCTGTGTTTGCACTGTTTCTAGCACATTGCACGCACTGAAGAAAACCCACACTTTCGGGTAGTAAGGCTGTCCTGTTTCCCAGAAAACAGCTGTCACTATTTCTTCACCGAAGATCTGTTTCTGTCTTCCACCACAATTCTCTGGTTTGTTAAACACTAAAACTTGTTCTCCTGTGTTTAATCATAAATTTGAGTAACCTTTTTGAGCAGACTCATTAAAACAAAACAAAAACCCCACACTGCTTAGCCCATTGGGAAGTTTTAACTCCATGATGGCATGTAATTTCTGCAGCAAATTTATTTCCTGTTCTGAAACAGCAGGCCAAGAGGCTAATAGATAACTTATTTGACAGCCTAAAGTGACAAAAAATTCACAGTATGGGGAGGGAGAAAGGAGAAAAACCCCTTTAGAAAACTCCCCAGAATGCTCCAGCAAATAGAAGTTGTGAGAAGCACAGGGGGGAGCAGGTGGCAAAATAGAAGTCAATGAAGTGATGAAAGCCTAACTGACTTGATGGAGTTTATTAAAACTTGGCTAAGTGATCTATGCAAAGATTTAATGGACAGAGAGGGGGCTGGAACACAACTTCACAGAATACTAAACATGCACAGGTAATAATACAGATAACTGCACAAACATGTCTTTGAAAGCATAGGAGCAGGCATAAGGAAAAGGGTAGGTACCACATCATCTGAGACCCTTCTTGACCTCTTCAACAGCATTAAAAGATAAAAAGTCTAAAAAAGAGCAATTGCCAATAAACTTCCCCCAAAATTACTTTTTAATAATTTTAGCAGTGGCAGAATTATGAGCTGGATGGCCCTTTACTAAAAAATCAGTTTTTAACTAATTTCACAGAGCAGGATCTTTAAAAGGAGCTCTTCCCCTGACCCACAATTAAAGTAGGAAAACAATCTACAACGTGCCAAGTCTAAGCCACATCCATCTCAACAAATTCAGCTTACTTACAACACGATCTTAAGGGTCTTTTCCAACCTAAATGATTCTATGATCTTTACAACAAAGGATAAAAGAAGCCAAAGAGCCCACAAACAACCACAATCACACATCTCTCTTCTCAACTAGTTTCAATTTTGCAGCAAACTGCATTAAAAATACATCTGGAAAGGAGGGCTCTACAGCTGAAAAAGGCATATATTCACAAATCAAATTACTTCAATGCTCAGGAGTTTTGATGAAAAACTAGTACATGGCTAAAGCAACAAACATTCTCACAGGTTTGCAGGGAACTCTAAAATGAAACAGCACACAGTTTCACCAGTCCTTCCTACAGCTACTTAATAGCCCACAAGGGAAATCATGTTCTACTCCTTTTCCCTCCATCATTTAAGGGCAGTACTACATCAACTCTAAACTAGCTAAAGAACAGACCTGACAAAGACAAGTGGAGGGCAACACTCCACACACACTCCTCCTACTGCCCACAGTGTTTGCTGTGGATAAACAACTCACTGTAACAACAGTCTTTTAAAAACTTCAAAAATTGGGCCGTTATTAAACAAGCATCAGCTGGGCCTCAACTGTGCTAACACTTCATCATCATCATTATAGAACCATAGAATGGGTTGGAAGGGGCCTTAAAGATCACCAAGTTCCAACCCCCCTGCCAGAGGCAGTGACATCTTCCCACTAGACCAGGTTGCTCAAAGCCCTGTCCAACCTGGCCTTGAACACTGCCAAGGATGGGGCAGCCACAGCTTCTCTGGGCAACCTGTGCCAGTGCCTCACCAACCTCACACTAAGGAACTTCTTCCTAATATCTAATCCAAGTCTACCCTCTTTATGGTTAAAAACATTCCCCCTTTTTACATGCCCTTGTAATAAGTCCCTCTTAACATTTCTTGTAGGGCCCCCATGGATCAAACAGAACTACATTTATTGTGAAGCTGAAGTAATTGCAGTTAAGAAAACTTGCAGATGAAAATCAGCAGTTTTTAAAGGTTTCCTGTCTTCAGTCCCAAGAACTGTTTTGTTTGGACAGTAGCTCACACGCAGCAACATCTCCAGTGACATACACACATACTGATGGCCTTCCTCCTTTCAGAAAAGGAAATCTATAACGCACAATTTATGAAGACACTTCAAGCTTGAAGCCCAGCTGAATTATCATCGAGTATGTTAACCAAAAAGCCTTTAGACAAGCCACAAACACACTCTTCCAGAAGCAAGCCATGTATATAAAGCCTCCTAATAAAGATACATTAGAGCAGCTGGCAGCAATAAGGGACTAGCAGTAACAGTAGGGATTTAGGTTTCATTCCCCAGGGCACTGCTAAATCAGCAGTTTCTTCCCAGTAAGGAGCCTACCGACAAGCAAAGGAGCTAAATTTTAGCTGCACTCAGTACTTAACCCGGCGGTTTCCAAACCGCAGCTTGCGGATCCTCACGAGCCCAAGGTGTGAGCAGGGCAATCAATAAAAGCAAATCGACCGCGAAGTGGCTTCCAAGTGCCAAGCCGAGGCGCGCGGCTACACGGAGGAGCTTCGGTCTGAGCCCACCCCGGGCCCCGCAGCTGGGCGGAGACCGAGCAGCGACCGGAGTCGCTGGAGAGCCCCCGGCTCCACCACACACACACACACACACACACACACACACACACACGCCCCGGCCAGAAGCTCGCGGCAGCACCGCCTCAGCGTCACCACAACCCAGCCACGTCCCCAGCCGCGACGGCTGCGGCGCTGCCCCGGACCCGCCGCTGCGGCACGGGGGAGAGCTCCGGGCCAGGGCCTGGCGAGGACCCCCCGCCCTCCCGCCTAGCTCTCTCTCACCTCTCCCCGCAGCAAGGTCCAGCGGGTTGCGATGACTTGGACCCCTCCTCTTCTCCCCTCTCCGCGGCGCGGGCTCCGCCTGCTGTGCACGGCACCGACCACTCCTTCCCCCCGGCACAGCGCCCAGTCGCCGCTTGATCCGCTCATCCGCCGCGGCAGCCGCGCACGCAGGCGCGCCGCGCCGCGCCCCGCCCCGTCAGGCGGTGGCCATCAGCGGTACCGCCCACTGCAGGGCGGTGTGTGCCAGCCCCCCGAGCCCGCCGCGGGTCGCCGGTAGCGGGGTCCGTGAGGCGGCCCGCTGCATGGGCGGCAGTCGCTGAAGGAGGACGGTTGAGGTGGTGGAGGCTGCGGGAAGCTGAGCGGCTCTGGGTCTGTGAAACGGCTGCGGGGGGTGAGGGTCCAGAGATCCTTCCACAAGGAACAGACGAGAAGATATAATCCTGCGGGGAAAGCCAAAACTTACGAGGAAAACTGAAGGAGATCTGGCTGTGAGAGGGCTGCTAAAGCTCACAGTGTTCGAGCTATGCTTCTAATAAAACCCTTTTCTTGCAAGTAGTGCTATTCTTTCAAGTGGAGACTGAAGGGTGCAGAGCACTGGAAAAAGTACAGTCATAAATACCACAGCAGCATTGAATTAATCATCGAGTGTGGGTTTAGGTAATAAATTAGGCAGCCAGAAAGTAGTAACAATGGAAATAAAACATGCTCTGAGGAATGTCCGTAAACCAGCAAAGAGACCTGGTTGCCAATTAACATGCCAAGAGGAACCCCGCTCTGGATATTTTGTGTTTCCATCACAAAATGTGTCCTCACAGTTTTAAACATCGTTTTAAACATTTCAGACATTTAAACATCTTGTTTAAACCTTACCTATGTTACCATATTTAAAATGAGATCCATGTGAACCCCAGTTTTTCAGCACCTGCCAGCTGACATATCTGAGAACAGTCGCTAAATGCTGAATAACTTCTCAAAATGCTGAGCATCATTTTATCACTTATCCCAAGGCAAAGTATTGTCAGTACCTTCAGTACAGACCAGCTAACTAGTGATGCAGGGAAGCTGTCAAAGGATTAATGTTTCCAAGTCTGAAAATAAGCCTTCTGGCTCCATCTATTTTTCGTAGAATTATCTGCTGTATCTCAATTATGTGGCAGTGTCCCGAGGAGTCCATTATCTTGGGCTAATGTTCCACTCACTATCTTTTCACTCTGTTCCTTATATAATCAGAGTTAATTAAAAGGCTGAGTATTCTTTCCTCAGTACTTTTTAATACTTCCATAGAAAGATACATATATATTCCTGACTGCAGAAGATTGCTTTTTCCCCTCAGCAATGAGGTATGAAATGTTGAAAAATACAGAGACCAACTTTGCTTTCTTCGTTATATATGCAGTTTCTTTGTACAAAGCTTTCTATAATTAAACAATACTTCTCCCCAAAAGAGGGCCTTGGAATGAGATAATTCACTCCAACAAGAGTTAAACTTGCAGGTTTTCTTGCTGTAGATCTTGAATTCACAAGGCTGGTCATGGTCTGTCGAATGGACTGAGTCTCAGGTTGGGAAGCAGTACTGCTCATGTGTGCAACTCATGACTCATTCATGAATATCTTGCCTTGTGAAAGAGCAATTCTTTCAAAGCTATTTTCAAGGACACCAGATTTCACGCTTCCACACTTTGAGAGACTCATAAAAAGCCCCGTGGAGTTCTTCAAGTCATGCTAAACAGCCATGGACAGGTCACAGTTCCAGATGTACAAAGTGCGTGATACCAGGCAGCTGTGTGCAGCTGGGAACTGGTTCACTTCGTGGGTACCCCTGGTGAATCCATGCTATGCATTTTGCTTCTCCTGGAGCTCACCAGTAAAGCCCTGTTACTCATTCCTTAGAGTGTTTCCTGGGTTTATATAGTTCTTTTATTCCTGTCTGTGACTGAAGCGGGAGGCTGGCAGCATACTGAAACAGCAATAGTTTACAGAGAAGCTCAGGCATCTGCTCTGACATTTTCATGGGTTGTACTACGCTGGATTATGTCCAGAAATTTTGCATTTTAAAGAACCTCTTATAGGAAAAATGGGGACAAGTTACCACAAAATATCATATTTTCAGATTTGAGGACACAGAGCACTGATGGGAGTTTGTGCCTCCCTTCTTGGGACTGTCAGGTAGAAGAAATACTTAACTGTCACCATGTCATGGTTTAAGTCCAGCCAGTAACTCAGAACCATGCAGCCGCTCTCTCACTCCCCTCCCCTTCCTCCCCCCCACTCCTGGAGGGATGGGGAGGAGAATCGAAATAATGTAACTCCCACAGGCTGAGATAAGAACAGTCCAGTAACTAAGGTATAACACAAACCACTGCTGCTACCACCAGTAATAGTAATGATGGGGAAATAACAAGGGAAGAGAATACAACCACTCACCACCCGCCAACTGATACCCAGCCCGACCCGAGCAGTGATCTCGCCCTTCCGGGTAACTGCCCGTGGTTTATATAGTGGGCATGACATGCTGTGGTATGGAATATACCTCTTTGGCTAGTTTGGGTCAGGTGTCCTGTCTCTGCTTCCTCCCAGCTTCCCTTCCTCCCTGGCAGAGCATGAGACTCAGAAAGTCCTTGGTCAGAGTAAGCATTACTGAGCAACAACTAAAAATATTGGTATTACCAGCGCTGTTCCCAGGCTGAAAGTCAAAACCACAGTGCTGCAGCAGTTACTAAAAAGGAGAAAAATGACTGCTACTGCTGAACCCAGGATACACCACAAATACATGCGCTAGGGAAAACATTTGCCTGCATTGTATGCATCTGTGACGGGGTATAAAACAAGGTGAGGCCCACAGATAACAGGGAAAAAATTATCTGTGTTTCCTGTAGGAATACTACAGCTACTGACCTCTATTAATGGCATGGGAAGGCAGGAAAAAGGATGCAAAAACGGCTGTGTAAAAGGGGAGAAGCTCTTTTCCATTTCTGAAATAGGCTTTTAATAAGGGTTTCTTTCCACCCCCTTTAAAACTGTGGGATTCAGGTGACTTAAGGGTACACCTGATGTTTGAGGTTGTCAAGGAGCAGCACAAACAGGATTGTTCCCTAAGGGGAACATGAGCTGGGAACCGAAATGGATAACTTAGGTGCCAGGGCAAGGACTTCACCATCCAGGACCTACTCCCACAGCACCTGAACAGGACAGACCTAGACAGAAAGGTCCCATTCAGCCAAGAGGTGAGATCATAAGGCAGTATCAGGATGAAGGGAAAAATCCAAGGTGAGGCCAGGAACAAAATACTGCTACTGTGGTTAGGATCAAGTCCAGCATAGCAGTACGAACAAGCTGAAGTCAAGCCACAGGTTGAGGCCTAAATCAAGAGCTGCTATGGCGCGGGTATAAATGAATTGAGAAGCAGTACTATGCTAACAGAGTTCAGGTGATGAGTGGAAGCCTGCAGCTAAACTTAAATAGAGCTCCTAGCCCATGGGTGTGAATAGAAACTTCAGGGGAGACTGCTCAGGGCCATTAAGGCTTATTAGTGCACTCATGACCCACACAGTTCATCTAGTCCCTTTATTCCTTACAGGACAGAATTTACAATAATACCCTGAAGCAAACTTTTCTCCTCTGCTACATACAGCTGCCCTTCCTGGTTCAGCTCTTGCAAAACGAAGGGTGTGTGGGAGCTTATGGCAGTGCTGCTATCTCACAGCTCCTTCCCAAGCTCACATGTTCTCTACTGTGTTCAGAAGACAAGATAAAGTACTTTAGAGCTGAAGGTGAACAACAAAAAGGCAGAATGTTTTGGTTTGTGGTTGTACATATCTTTGAGGCTATGATTAGGGCTGGTAGATGCTGTAGGAATACAAACAAGCTCTGTTCAGAATAAGAAGATAAGAAAATTTGCATTATTCTCAGGTAACATACTTGCAGAGTCACTAGAGGATTATTCATTGTAATCCTGATAGGTGTTATCTTATTATCTAGTGGTAACACACACCACATAGGGCTTTACTGGTAAAGGAAAACAGAGAAAGACTAAAAGCAACAGCAGAGTCTGAAGTGAGAATTCTGCAGTCTTGTCAAGGGAAAATTCTGCACACACCCCCTCTTTTGTTTTGGCTTCTCTGTTGAAATGTAGGTTCCCGCTACATCTGTAGGTGCAGATACCTCTGAAAATTAGAAAAAAAAAACAAACCCAAAACCAACAAATAAAACAAACCCAGAAATAAGAAAGAAATGTTGTATTAAAAACATCAATATCAAAAATACACCAGTTTGATATATTTTTGGCCCTTTCTTTGGTCTTCTTGGAAGTTTCAGCTTCCAACATCTCTCCAATAGAACTGAGTCTTTCATTCTCACCTTGAAAAAAGCCCACTTTAAAAATAAAACTTAAAATTGGGCTTTTAGTTATAATTAACAAAACATGGTTGTAACTAAAAAGCAGCTGGGACTGGTCAGAACAGCAAAAGACATTTTAGCTAAATGTTCACCTAAAATGATTTTAGCCTTTTCTTATGGAAAGAAAACCAGTTTGAGAGGTCCTCCATTGCCCTCTGTGGGAGAACCTTAGCCCTGCTCTAAGAGCAGTGGTCATAGAGCGCTCTGTGGCCTCTCAAAGCTTCTTGCCTCACTGTGTTACTCTTCTCTAATTTGGAGAAATTATCTACACTGTGACATTACTAAAATTAAAATTTTAATTAGAATTAAAAAGGATTATTATATATTTGGCTGTAAGTACATTGTTCATGATAGAAGACAATGCTTGGTAGTAGCCTTTTTATCATGGAATTTGGTCATTCATGGCTATTTTAGAACATATGTTTCGAAGCTTTAAAGCTACTGACATTACTAATACTGGTTTGAGTTTCCAATTTGAAGCCAGTATGGTTGTACTGATTAAAATTTCAAATAAGATGACAATATTTCAACTTCTATTCCAAAAGCAATGTGGCAGGCATATGAAGTATTTCTAATTTACACTACAGTAATTCTCATTGTCTCCAGTGTGGTCACAGTTACAAATGCTATCCTGATGAAATTACTTTTGTCCATAGTAATCCATAATTATCCATTCATTCATGGGACTAACATAAAAAAAAGAAATCAAACTTATTTTTCCACTATTAGATCACAG